CCTGCCACCATTTTGCTAAATCCTCTTATACAAGTTTAATGTTTCATTACCTCTGAAGACTACAGTCATTGGAACAGGGTACAGCGAGACGACAATTTCTGTTTCTGCTGCTTTATAATGATTAAAGAAAAAGCTGATCTTAGTTTAATGAATCTAGGAAACCGGTTGCACTCGAAAAAAGGTAAGTAAATATAACCATTAAAGTCAGTTTACTTCATATCTACTTGTAAAGTTTACTTAAAATTTAGCTGTATTCACTTAATTTTGTGAACTTAAATAGCATAATAATTTGATCTTTCCAAGTGTTAGAAACTTAAATAATAAAAACAATTGATCAGATGTATATAGCACATTTCTAGACCCTCAAGGACGCTTTACACTGTTAATTATTCATTCACACACATTCATCCTGGTGGTGGTAGCTACGGTTGACAGAGGTGTGGCTGCCATTCTGCCCCTCCGACCACCACCTCAAACAATCCATTCATATGCATTCATACCAGGCAACGTGGGCAACTTTAAACTGTCATCGGCCGGCGAAGCAGCTGGCCGAAACCGTTTATTTATTGATTTTTTTTCCTCGTCGACCTAAAGGCCTTGCGGCAGCCATGGATTTTTAAGGCATAATGCGGCACCTCTAATTCAGCGGCAATGCATTGTGCACGGCAAAACCAACCGCGTGATTCCATCTTCGCAACTGCCAAGCAGTTGAGCTCAAATACCGTCCGCGGTATACCAACGAGCCAGCCGGTACCGCTTCTGCTGAACAGGAGGAAGCTAACGCTAGCGATGCAAGAGATCCATTGATTCATCTGAACATCAACATGAAGCCTCAAAGTTGCCCAATGACACAACGACCACGACGCAGGTTACAGGGTGGAATCAAACCGCCAACCTTGCGATCATTGACTGACCCGCTCCACCACCTGAGCCACAGCCGCCCCATAAAGTTTCTGGAAACTTCTCTGCTGCACATGTTCCCTGCTGAGCTCTGTGTTCAGTCCAGGAACAGAACATTTCAAGTCCAGTTTACTCAAGTGTAGTTAGTTTTATAACTCTTTAAGTAAAAGTGAGTACATACTCACAGTCCATGAGTTAAATCAACAGGACAATAACAAATAAGTAAGTAAGTACACTAATGTGATTCAATTAAGCATAGGTACTACCTTTTAGAGCAGGGGTGTCCAATCCTGGTCCTCGAGGGCCACAGTCCTGCATGTTTTAGATGCTTCCCTTCTTCCAACACACCTGATTCAAATGATCAGGATGGTTGTCAGGCTTCTGCAGAGCTTGATGATGAGCTGATCATTTGAATCAGGAAGAGGGACACATCTAAAACATGCAGGACTGTGGCCCTCGAGGACCAGGATTGCCCACCCCTGTTTCAGAGTGCACCTTATGTTTCATGGTTTGTTCATGTAACTTTGCTTGTTTGAAATGTTGTCTTTCGACTGTAAATAGTCTGATAACAATAATAAAAGCAGCAAAACCTGTTT